GAAACGGACTGCCCCAGGCGCGTCTCGATGACATTGAAAAACATCTCGGTCTCGTGGGAAACCAATACAACGTCTGCATCTCCATCCTGTATGTGGGATACCTGCTGGCCGGAATCCCATCCAACATGCTCCTGACTCGAATCCGGCCATCCATTTACCTTGGTGTCTGTATGTGTGGATGGGCTATCGTCTCTGCTTGCACATCCCTCGCCCACAACTATCACACCATGTTAATCCTGAGATTTCTGCTGGGATTTTTGGAGGCCCCTTTCTATCCCGGTGCCATCTATATCCTTAGTCGCTTCTACACGCGACGCGAGGTATGTCTACTCAAGACTCATTGTACGGGCTTGCAAATCACTGACTGTTGCCAACGATAGGTTGCGACGCGTCTCGCTATTCTCTACTGCGGCCAGCTTTGTTCAAGCTCGTTCTCGGGTTTGATCACTGCAGGAATTTTTGTATCTCTTTCCGGTCGATATGGCCTGAACGGATGGCAATGGTACGTCCAACACGCCGCACATTCGATGTCATGCAGTATGCTAAACCCCGGCAGGTTGTTCATCATCGAGGGAACCGCCACTTTTGGAGTCGCCGTTATCGCCATATTCCTCCTTCCTGATAACCCTGGTACGACACACTGGATGAGCGATGCTGAAAACGCATGTGCTGTCATCCGACTGGAGGAGGACGGCATCAATGAGCTCCAGCACGAGACACCCTTGCAGGGATTTATGAGCGCAATCAAGGACTACAAGGTGTGGATGTTCATGTTGATGCAGAACATGCATTTCTCTGGCATGTCCTTCAACCAATTCTTCCCTACCCTTGTCAAGACACTGTAAGTCCTCAAGATGTTTCTACTGTTGCGTGAGTCTAACTTCGGTATAGGGGATACGGCAAGATCACCACTCTTCTCCTGACAGCACCCCCTTATGTCTTCTCTGCGCTGTTTTCTCTCGCCTTTGCTCGCTCTTCAGGTTACTTCAACGAGCGAACCTGGCATATCGCAAGCGGAAACGCCCTGGGAATCGTTGGCTTTGTGCTTGCCTGTGCGACAACCGGACTTGCCCCTCGATACGCCGCCTGCTTCCTGTTCGCTGCCGGTTCGTACTGCACGGGAAGCATCATCCTCGGCTGGGCCGCAACCAACACTGCCGACTCCCACGAGAAGAAGGCTGTCACAATGGCCATGGTCAACTTCTCGGCCGTCCTCGCCAACGTCTACACGGCGTACCTTTGGCCCACGTCAGATGGCCCTCGATACCTGATGGGACTTGGATCAAGTGCTGGATTCTGCGCACTGTGCATTGTTGCTGCAGTGGCTGGTAGAATTGTATTCCAGCGGGAGAACGCGAAGCGTCTCCGTGGTTCTAATGGTGGCGAGGTCAGGTTGTATGTCATTTAGGTAGACTCGCACTTGTCTGTGTATTCTTGTCATCGGAAGAATAGTTGTATATTTAGCTCGCAATCCATCATTGACGCCAAGAATAATATTTAAAACGGGGACTCTCCATCTCATGATTTACACTTGAGAATATTCGAGCTGTAGTTTGGATCGCGCCACTCTCGGCCAGACTGAGACCATGTGGGTGGGGGCTGGTGCATTGACACGAATAAGATGATTGACGCGGAAATGAAGTATAATGTCTTCAGGGCTTCGTCCCAGGTTCGATAACGAGAATATTAACAGGTCGGAACGAGGGCCTGACGTGGTAGCTGGAAGGCCGTCAAGGGGTTCTGATATCAGGTGAAGACGTCAACCAGAAGGCATTCAGTTGGTCAAGTTGAACGACCAAGTTCGAACATGGACATTCACCCAAAATCACAATACTGGCGTAGTAGCCATTATGATGCGCTTAGTCCATGTATTTGAGCTATCAACCTGTCCGCGACTGTTCACCGTGCATCGACGATTACTCATGCTCAAGATAGACGAAAGTTCAAAGGCACTCACTATTTAGAGCGTATGCACAGCTCATCTGATATTGACTAAGCGCGAAGAAAATTCCACTACACCACATTTTCGATTTCCTTCTTCTCTCCCTTGATTGAGCCATTGTCAGATCTGGTATCATTTGGAATAATGGGCTTTCCTCTGAGCTGTTTCCAGACAGCCTTATGCGTGGGTTGCATGAATAGGGCATCCATAGCCTCCAGAGATAGACCTGGTAGGTGGAGTCAGCAAGGCAACATGACCCAAAGAAGCAGTAGAACCAACCTCGTGTTTCTGGAACAAAGAAGAACGCCCAGATACCCATTAATATCACAACTCCGCCAAACACAAAGTAGGTGCCGTATCCCAAACCAGTGATCATAAAAGGCGTAACGCGGGCAATAAAAAAAGACCCGATCCAGGTGCTGGCCGTGGTGAGCGCGACACAGAGCATGCGGATGTCCAGAGGGAAGATCTCGGCAGCATAAGTCCAGGTGATTCCCTGCCAGGTGGCACAGATGATAAAGGCGTTGAGATAAATGCAGACCATGGCAAAGTAGCTCCATCCGTCTCGATTGATGACACCAGCGGCAGCTGCTGTGGCGGGATCCGCCTTGAAGACATAGCCGCCGACATACCAGAGCGGCAGACATCCAAGTAGTGCTCCATAGATCAAGCCCTTGCGGCGACCTAAGCCTTCCACGACGAAGAGCGTAAACACAACCATGCCGAGCATCTTTGCGACGCCGTAGATGCCGGTACTGAATAGTTTGGTGGTCGTGCCAACCACGCCGAGAGACTCAAAGATGCGGGGAGAGTAGTAGGTCATGATGTTGACCCCGGTGAAGCTCTGCAAGAACATGAGGAAAGCGCCGACGCCTACTCTGTTGCGGGTGCCCTTGGCCGTGAGCTTCTTGAGCTGTTCCATCTTGCTTAGCCGGACTGTGCTTCTCTGCTCGACTTGTTGGCGAATCTCTGCCATTTCGTTCATGATGAACGGGTGGTCAGCCGGCAGTCCACGTAGATAAACGAGGACCTTTTCTGTCTCGTCGAATCGATCCTTTCGAGCCAGCCAACGGGGAGATTCGGGACAGAAGAAGATACCGCAGGCCAAAAACGTCACGGGCAGAAGCTGGAGCCCCAGCGGCACGACCCACTGCGCGGCGTACTTGACGTCGATGGTGCGGTCTGTTGCATAGTTGATCCAGAAGCCGAGCATGGAACCAGTTTGAGACGTCACTTCAAAGATGCCCACCAAGCGGCCTCGGATACTGGGAGGTGCAACCTCGGCAATGTAGACTGGGACAGTAAGCGTAGCAGATCCAATGCCAAAGCCGCCAATGGCTCGTCCGGCGATGATCATTCCGACATGTCCTCGTGAGCCAGTCATGAGCGAGGCGCCCAGCATGAAGACGAGACATGCAAACAGGACGGCTTTGCGACGGCCAACCTTTTCAGCAATGGGAAACGTGCAGAATGCTCCAAGAAAGGCGCCGAGTTGGAAGGTTGACACGATGTTCGCCTGGGTGTTATCCCGGTCATGGTCGGACATGCCTTCGAGTCCAAAGTCTCGGACAAACGAGTCAAGGGCCATGGTTCCACCGATGACAGCAGTGTCGTAACCCACTGCGAAGCATATGATTAGTACGTTATAACATTGTGTCATATTTGAGGATCGCCTACGAGCTAGGGCAGCCATTGAAGCCACAATGGCAACCCAATGGATCGTCCAGTTTCGGACTTCAGGAGGCTCATCGTTGTCAGCATGAGTAATACCCATAACTAGTTGCGTTTGTATGTGTGGAGGGGGAGGATGGTGTGGTAAATTGGCAGAAATTGGTGTGAGATGAGAGGGACAGGATCGTAAACTACCACGGGGATACAGACGACTTTTATAAGCGGGAGAGACGCGCAACCTCTGTCCCAGAATCAACCAACCTACAAGATGCCGTCGTACCAGGACCAATACCCCTCACGGATAAACGGATTCTTGGCGACGTTGCCATGACCCGTGTCATTCTCTTGCATGAATGCGGGGTGTTGGTCAAGGTTGCAAGCCCGACTACATCTCGGGAGATGCTTCGGCCTAGCATCACCTAGTTCATCTAACCAGGGATAAGCTTAACATGCCCCTGGGGTATTCCCCAGGGGGGAAGATTGCGGGGTAAAAGAGAACGACGCAGTGACTTTTAAGTCACTTGCTGGCATCCTAGTGTCTTGATTTGACGTAGGTGTTGTGAAAGTCTTCTTGGCAGTCAAACCGCAGTTATGTCGGTATCATACCGGGGGATGATCCGGCAAGACCCCGTCGAACCACTGCACATCTGGGGTAGATCTTTTGTTTAACGGTAGTGTTTTGCATGGAGCGGGGAAATCTATCCCCATTTTGTTGGACCTGGGTGGCAATGAAAAAAGATAGCCGAGTCCTGTCCGGAGATCCATGGCCGTGTAGGGCTTCTCTCATGACCAGCCTTGGCACCTCAACAGAACACCCGATACCGTACGATAAAGCCCATGTCCCTAGTCAATTGCTGCATGCTGTAATGAATTTCTGACGTGATCTCGTAGTTACAACCAGTACCATTCAAAGAGACGGCTGGGTATGGGGTATGGTCACGACAACCATGGGCCTGAGAGGTAATTGTCAAGAAAGGAACCAATACCGCCACTCGCGCGATAATGCCGAATCTTCCAATAGATAGAAACATTTGGCAGGTCCGAGATACCGTATATTAGGCCATTTTACGTTCCTGGGCCATTGGATGCTTGGCCATGTATACCCGTGGGTCGGGTCATCGGTCGCTGAGTGAGCTGAAGTCCCACCGTTATCATGTAGTCCTCCGGTTGAGGCCGTCGACAAGGCCGTGACACCGAACAAAAGTAGAAACAACTACTCTTTTATCTGCTGTCTTCTTCACCGGTCTGTCTTGCTTAATTTAGCGGTTACCCGCGTCGCATACTTTATCTAACTCAAGTGACTACCACCCACCACCACCACCACCACCACCACCACCAAAAAAAAGGAAAAGGAAAAAAAGAATGATCTCGCATGAGATCTATTGTATAGCAATTATACGTTTCGATCGTACGACCTCCGGGTTATGAGCCCGGCTGGGATGAATTAGTTTCGAACCGATGATTTAAAGATTCGAGTGTAAACATACCGCGCTTCCACTGCGCCAAATTGCTTTGTTGGTTGTGTATTGGCGCTGAAAACTCGGAATATGAAGGTGAGGCTCCACTTGGAGTCGTGAGTCACGATGGGTTTAATCCGACATCGGCGGGTATTCGCACACTGGACGAAAATAATACTAGTATCCACTAAATGAACATTGGATACGTCATTGGGTTGATACACAATTCTCTGGGCTGGGTTACGCCGAACCATTGCTCTTCACCTCGCCGTGGCTAAGTCCTCGATTAAATGCAACATTGTATTTTTAAACATTCGCTATATTAATCCACCAACTAAAAATACTTCGTCATTCCTTAGATGATTAATTTGGTAATAGATGTACCTTCTACGCTGCCGCATCAGTGCGTCTTCTTTTCAAGTTTCCATTCACCCCCTGATGCTCCCCATTCTCTTGACCCTTCACCAGCGCCTTTCTCGCCGTCAGTGCAGGCATTCCAGCAGCTGCCAAATCGGCTTCAATCTCCTCCAGATGATCCAGGAAGTGAGCCTTAACGTCATCCCACTGGGTTGGTGCAGTTGGGTGCAGTGACTTGGCACCTTCTCCCCGCATCGCCCATTTCGTCAAGAACAGGGGAACGCTGATGTGGAACATAAACGCCATCGTGTCTTCGCAAATTCTCTCGGGTTTGAGGTCGCGCGTCGTGGCATCTTTCCATGTCTTGTACGTCTCTCCGTGAGGCATGTAGCTTGCCTCGTAGCTAAGACCACCAGGCTCTAGGACGTGACTGCTGCCTCCGTATTGGCCATAAATGAGACCCATCATCTCGGTGCTCATATTACGGTGGTAGTATGGCGGCCGGAAGGTATCTGAAGTTGTGATCCATTTGGGTGTAAAGACCAGAAAGTCAGTCAGCGAGACACCCGGTGTCTTGGACTTGGCTGTGAGCACGCAGTAGATTGTAGGGTCGGCCTGGTCCTTTTCCACGTTTGTCATGTTGACAAACTTCTCGATTGCATACTTGTACGGTACCAGATTCCCGTGCCATGCCACTACGTCGAATGGAGTGTGCTTTTGTCGGCAGACATGCAACGTGCCGGCAAGCTTATAGACAATGTCCCAAGCCGAGTCATCAACGTCAAAGCTGGCAACTGGCGACTCAAAGTCTCGAGGGAGGGCCATGCCGTTGGAGCCCACAGGTCCCAGTTCCGGAAGGTCGTAGTGAGCTCCAAAGATTTCCTGGATATATCCGCGGACGGGTCCATCGGGCAGTAGGACTCGGAAGCGGATGCCAGCTTGAATAACTACAAGCTCGCCTGGCCGCACCATCATCCAACCAAGTTCAGTCTGAATGTTCAAACGCCCCTCTTGAGGTAGGATGAGCAGGTCTCCGTCATTATTGGAGAAGGCTCTGTGGGTCATGGAGGTATTTGCCGTGTAGATGTGAATGGCAAGACCTTCCCTCAAGGTTGGGTCACCTTGTCCTGCAATGGTGCGGATTCCCTCGACAAAGTCAATCCCACCGTCACTTGACGAGGCTTCAGGTTCCGGCAAGATGGGAAAGGGATCCCACGCCTCTTGTGAAGCAACGTATTCTACATCCTTGTTTGCAGCTGAGAAGCACGCTTCAATCTGTTTTCTATAAGTCGAGGAAGATGGACGTCGAATGAGTGGCTTACATGAGGGTTTGCAGTGGAAGGAGATACATCGCCGTGAGCCACTGATGGGCGAATGCGATACATCCAGACATGCTGGATCATCTGTCGGGGCGCGATAAAGGAGGAGCCATTGAGTTGTTCCGAGTATAGGTCGTATTTGATCTTCTGTGGCACGTTCCTCCCACTCGGCAACACGTTTGGAATCGCTTCAGACGCAAACCGATTGCCGAAGCCCGTCTGATAGCGGTGAGGGTCAGTGCCAGAGGGCTCTGTGGTATAGGCCGAGGTGGCTGTGGCGCCCATCATGGTTGCAGACTCTTGGCAACGCGATTGTCTTGGGAGTTACTGAGCGAGATGAGCTAGTCTGAGGATTGAGAACGTATTGCAGACATTGGAATGGATTGTATTTGATCACTTGGGCCGGCAACCGCTGGCAAGGGCCATGGCAATGTCCCCAACCACGCCGCCCTCTTCTCGTGTGTTATCGTCATGTGGGTCGGGCATGTCAAGCGGCAGATACGGTCGCACATTACCACATGGGTGACATAACCCTTTTGGGAAGCCTCAACCATGTGGAAATACTTAGTAATTTTGTGGACCCTTGCAAGACTACAGTATCGCACACTATCCGGAAGGTATCTCTTCATTTAGATGGCATGTCCACCAGGAAATATGTCGTGATAATTCCTGGTGACGCGTCACAATTCTTCCACTCGCACATCCACACCAGCATCAATACCCAGCCCATCGCCACCCCATAGCTGTTATGGGCTATCCCCATCGATTCCCTAAGTAAGCTCGGGTCTATCCATCATGAGATTGTGCGACTGACCTTGTCTTGTACGTAGATATGCCCGATCACGTCCTATCGCAGACATGTCCCGATGTTCCGAAGACCGTGGCCCCTAAATCGTACCAACGGAGCCACGATTTCATCCGCGATAGCTACCCAGGGTCGAATCTGTGTCCATATTGCGGGAGACGTTGGCCCACGAGTATCTCCATCCTCGACAGCTCGCCAGTCCCGTTTCGAGACGTTGAGACAGCTTCCACCTCCTCCGCTATACAGTCTATCGACCTAACAGCCTCTGATCGTTCCACGCCCTCACAGACGATCTTCACCGGCTCTGGAGACGGCCCTGGCCGTATCCTCGCAGCATCGCGGCCCTCCGCCGTGTATCGAGATGCCAAACTTACGCAGAGTCGGATCGCGAGGGGCATGGGGGCGAGCTCGTTGCAACTCAGTGAGGCTGTGGCTAAACAGAGCCAAAACAAGAGCAGACGGAAGATCTCGATGCGCCTCACCGTCTTCCTTGCGAGGCCTGGCCCATGGGAAATACTAGACGAAGACGAGGAGCCCCAGTGGTCTTTGGCTAGAGAGCTGCTGAAGGTCGCTTTGCGCCCCTTCGTCGACGAGGAACCATCTTTACCTGTCCACTTCTGGTTCGACAGCATCTTCTTCCCTCAGTTCAAGGACAAGCCTGCCCTCTCTTCTGTTCTTCAATTCGACAAGAGACTCGTTCAGAACGCCCATATTAAAGAGGGTATCACGGAGCTGAGCGACCTCGACTGGGAGAGACAGACAGTCGCAGAGCTTTTCGGCGAGGACTGCCCTTTTCGTTTCAGCAAAACAGAGGGCAGATATCTCCTTTTCCTTGTCTTCTATGAGCCATTGCCTCCTCGACCACAATTCCCGGCCCCTCGTCATATCAAGGCACCGAGGTCAGCCGTAAAGCCGTTCAAAAAGGAGAAAGGAATCAAGAAAGAGCTAGTCAAGGCCGAAGTGAAGGTACAACCAGCCTTGTTAATCGGGAGCGAGTTCAACTCGCCCTCCTTGAGCCCCTCTCTGAGCCCAGTTCTACCCCCTTCGAGAGCTAGCGCAGAAGACCAGATCGAGGTTATTACTAGCGACGTGGACGAGACCCGCGCGGGTCAGAAACGAGCTCGAGACTCTATAAGCTCAGCACTCTCGGTAGAGGCAGAGGATACGGAGCTCTCGGCTGGCCCTGCCTTCACTGCCCATGGTCCCGCTGCTGGAACCCGAGGAGTTAATACGAGGAGGCCAAGTAGTCGGCATCCTCATAAACAGACGAGGAAATAGTAGTTACTCTAGCTCAAGGTGACCCAGGTCCCCCATCAGCTCGTCTACACTATTGATAATATCGCCAGGTAGCCCAGTTCCGGAGAGGCTATTGTTAATAGGCTCAAGGTAGTTCTGCTCGAGGAGCTGAAGCTAAAGCATTGTCAGCTAGCTTTTGAGTGCGATAGAGTACTTTTTTACGTACGAATCTCTCTTGCCCTCCAACTGGACTCTCTGGGATGCTCAGCACCGGACTTGCCCCGCAGTCGAGATGAACCTGAATCTTGTCTCTAAGCCGTAAGTAGATTGCGAGGTGTGGTCGCTTATGATCAAGCTCCCCATCTAGCTGACCACCGAACTGAAGATCCCGGAGCTGTTGATCACACCAGTCTGTTGTTGTTGGGTCAAGAAGATCGTCTATATCGATAGAATCGACAGCGGCCATCATCTGGGCAAGCCCATCTCGAGCCGCAGGCCCTAGATGGACTGCCCAGTTCTCCACTTCGCTTGTATTATACAGATCCATTGGGATCCCGGCGACGAGATGCTCCCTATTCTTCTGTGGCCGGATGCGATGGCCGTTCCACATCTCCGTGAAGTCCGCAACCTCTTGACGGATCATGGGTCCATAGAGAGCATACACCGCGATCTGGTGAGCAAGACGGTTTGGTTGGAAGAGGCCGCTATCAATCAGCTCGTGTGAGAACGCGATCCAGCGCTGACTGACACCTTTAAGTAGCTTTTCCCACCAAGACTCGATCCGTTGGTTCGATGTGCTTGGGCCCCAGATATGACAGGAGCTCAGTCTCGCTCCCTGCCTATGGACTCGTTGGTCGTTATCATCGGTGGTATACCGAAACTCTGTCTGATCAAGGTCGGCGAGAATCGCCTGGGCTCCGGCCCAAAGAGGAGTCTCGATACCATGATCCGAGCGGGTGAAAAGGGGCCGGACCCCTGAGTACGACACGGTCCGTAGAAACTGTTTGAGTGAACTCAGCGCAGTCATGTTCCCCCTGCCGACATATATCCAGATGATGGCTCTCGAGTACGTGTCGATACAGGCGTAGATAGAGAAGCCGAAGTTCTTGAGCTTCTCGTACCCATCGAGAGACCACATGAAGTTAGGCCCAGGAACCTGGAAGTTCTTCCGGTGCTTCCAATCAGCAAGGCGTCTTTGTTCGGCCCGCTTCTTCCACTCTGGGTTCGTTTGGTACTCGCGATATAAGGTATTCTGGCCGACAAGGACGCCGGCACGGATGCGGACGTAGTGGTATAGATACCCCCTGCCAAATCCTCTGATGCTTGAAGATTGACGGT